CCCCGATGGGCCCCATTCGAGGTGCCCGACGGACTGGTCACCTGCACCAAACTCTGATTCCTTGATCCCAGCTCCCGCCCGCAGCAACAGAACCCTTAGCTTACCGCCGCCGCCACCGCCGCCGCCGCCGCTGCCGCTGCCGCTATGCGACGTGATGCTATTCCCCAGAGACCGAGCAGTTGCAATAACTACCTTACCTTGTCATCCAAAGCACGAAGCACCGGCCACCATGAGACACGACCAGCATCTGACGGGCGGCAATAACGGACGTGGAACGACAAGCTCAAGCTTGCCGCCTTGCCGCGATCTTTCTTGGCATTATTCCCTTTCTTTTCTTCTTGTTTTTTCCCCCCTCTTCCCCCCCCCCCCCCCCCCCCCCCTTTCCTCCCAGTCCTCCAAACCCCAGCCCCCCCTCTTCCATCCAGGGTAGTGATTTGCTCCAAAGTTACTAAATCGACATTACCGTGGCCATGGTTGATGGCTGCAAATCCGCCGAGCAGGAACAACAAGCTACTAGATCCCCGTTTGCTCAATTTTGCTTGCTCATTCACCCGTCTTGTCTGCATATAAACCACGTTGCCTCCAACCCCTTTCGGAACCCCTATCGGGAATTCGGCAGCTCTCAAGCTGTCAGTTTCCGGCCTGAAGCGTCTACGTCCCCTTGTATGTTCCTCCGCCTCCACATTTCCGGACGGACTGTAATGTCTGCCCGCCGGGCTGCCGGATGGCCGATGCCGGTGCAGCCGCCGGCGCCGAATGACCGCCAAGCCCAATCCCTGGTCTTGGCTTCACGGCGATGCAGTGCGCTCCAATCCAACTGCTCTGAAGCAACAAACTCTTGGCAGGCTCGTAAAAGTGATGCGTCGTGATGCCGAAGACGCGTCTTTGGCGGCGCGGCATGAGGCAGCGAAGTAGCGAAGCGAATACTCTGTATTTAGACAAGGTGCCGCCATGCCAAGATCGTGACTGTTGCCTCAGCTCGCCACCTAGCTATCGTCGGCGATGTGGTCAGGATGGCTAACGGAATCCCACGGACGCATGCTGAGCAGGTTTGCCAAGGACCGAGCGAGCTAACTGAGGTGCGCTCCCACTGGTATTGCACCTCGACCCCCCAGCCGGTCCTTTGGGCATTTGGACCTTCGCTACACATGAAGGCATGGTACGATTTTGTCTGCGCGGCTACAGATACCACGTATTGGCTCAAGGGCGGCATCATCGGCCATCGTCATCGGTGTCAGACCTACTTGGGTAAGGAAGTCAATTGACTTTTCGGTCCCCTCCACTAACCCTATCTCCCCGCCGGTCGAGTCCCACTAGCACCAGCATCGTCTTGGGCACTTCGCAGGCCCCCGGAACCTCTGCCCGCCTACCTGACGTTGAGGCGACGCGACGCGAGGCTTGTTGATGCCGCTACCACGGGCTACCACTAGGTGAGGACACAGTAAAAAGGCAGCCCGTGGTGTAGGCCATCCACCAATGCTGGAATAGCAGTCGCTAGCGTCCTGCTCCATACCTAACCAACAGAGCATTAAACTAAGGCGATGCAATCCAAAGTCGGGTTGAAACACGAAGGATTAGTGATCAAGGGGAGCAAATCGAGCAACTGCAACATGTTCCGCGGTGAAGGCGGGGTTTGGTTTGTAGTCGCAAAGTCATCAGGCAATGTCTCCTCCACGCCAACGTCGTTCCAACCTTGCGATCTGTAGACACACACAGCCTACAAGCACAGGCACAGATATGTACATGCAGAATAGTACCTAAGATAGCGCACATATCCGCAGATGCAAATGCGGGCTCGATCTGACGGTGCACGTAATAGATTGACAAGTCGGGCCCTGGTCAAGAATCAGAGGTCTACCATTCCCCTGGGCCCCGAAGCCGAAACCGCAGCCGCCGCCGCCGCCGCCGCCGTGGGTGTGGGCTTCCAAGGTTGGGCATGGCGACAGGCAATGTCAATCCCGGCGCAGCTCCCATTTTCGCATTCGTGAAATGTGACTGTTTTCCGTGCATACCACGCAGTACATACGGACTTTCTGGGGCTTTGATGCTGTTCTGTTTTTGAGCTCTGTGGATTCTTTCATAGCATGGGTTCGTCAGATCATTCGCATCGACGACAGCATGGTTCTTGCCGGGGAGATTGTTGCACAGAAATTGCCGTGTAGTAGTTGGCGGGGTGCATGTAATTAGATCCCCGACAAAAGTGCCCGTCTCCGTTCTTTGTCTCTCTCTGGGCCAAATTGAATTGTCAGTCATCTGCCCGGGCGGACATGCGAACATGTCCGGCCCCACTGCAACTCGGCCCATCTGCCAAGACTACCGCAGTAAGGGCCAAGACGACGTGGAGGGCCGACCCCAATGTCTCCAATGGCGGGCGAGTCCAGGCCCAGCTGCGCTCGCCATCACCTCGCCATGTTATTTTGCTGTTCGAGATGGACAGCGAGGTGAGGTGCGGTCCCTAGATGTCCGCACCGCGTATCATTCTAGTCTACCTTAGTCTGGTTGCTGGCCGTTGCGGCCCGTCTGTTTCCATGTAAGGTAGTGAGTGCGCTTGCGCAGCATTGCATCCATCCGTACTGCTGCTAACAATCACGGATACATACCCTTACGGACTCGAGTTGAATCGAGTCGCATCGAGGCAACAAGCCATTCACCGCTCCTCGTGCATCACAAGTGTCCGTCGCCAATCCGACTGTCCCGTCTGTACCGTTCGAACTCAACGCCGCAGAAGCCGCAACATCCATCCAATCAAGCGGTGCCGTTGACAAAGTCGAGAAAATGTTGCAACTCCACCTCACAAACCCGCCCGCGGTGCATCACAGCCTCAAGCTAGCGAGGCCAAAGACGGCAAGGATCAGTCTGATCCACCGTCGACCCACTTGAAATGGCGGATTGAAAAGAAATAAAGAAAAAGACAGGGCAGATTAGGGTGGCGCCGGTGGGTGTTCTCAGAAGATGCTGCGGCACTTAGTAAGCTACCTTACCTAGGTAAGGTAGGTACTGTACGGAGTAGATACGTACACTTCCCAGGTTTTATGGGTCACGTACATAGCAGACCTGGAGGTGTCCACCCTGTGCCCTGCCCTGCTCTTGCTTGGCCCCTCAATGCCGATCAGGATCCCCCATGCATCCCATCCCATCCATAATCCAACCCCATTGCGCTGCCTGTTTGCCATTCTGGCTGGTTCTGGTCGTACTACATACTGCATAGTAGTATGTAGTTCTGGACCCAACTCCAGGGGTCCAAACCCTGCCACGGGGGGAGGGGGGCCGGCCGATGAAGAAGAGCCCACGGAAAAAGAAACCAAACTTGCGATCTCACAATCTGGAGTTCGCGCTAGCGGCCCAACTCGACAAGGACCCCGACTTGCCAAGCTTCCAAGCGCTTGTATCCGTGAGGTAAGTCCGGTACGTAGCCAAGCGTCCAAAGGCACTTACGCTGCACTGCAATTCCCTTGGGCCTGCCGACATCATCGCCGGCACCACACGTCAGATAGCACTGCTACTGGGCTCTTCTGCAGCGTTGTCCCTCATGCTAGAGCAATGGTGTATGTACTGCATAGTAAGGTAGCGTAGAACTCGACTGTTCTTTTCTCATTCTGCTCTGTCCCGCCCTTCTGCCTTGCCCTGCCCTGAGCGGCCAAAGGTTGTGGTCAATCGCCCCTTGGGCACTGTCACCACCTCCTTCTCACTTAACTGCCACCCTCACGGTGCTACGCATGGTATTTGCAATTTGACGGAGGGAAATGCGTTACCCCGTCGATGCCGGCACTGCTATCCTCCCACTTCACGCATAATGAACCACTCGCCGTCCGTTTCGCCAGTATCTCGGGTTCCTATCTCGCTTCCTCGTCACCTCGGTTTTTGGTTTTCGGTATGGCTAATCTAACCACGAGCAAGTTGAAACCGTGTCACCGCCAGCAATCACCAACCCCATCCTTCCCGTTGCTTAAGTCACCACATGCCTAAATTTGCTGCGGCGGCAAGCCAAGTTAGGGGGTGCTAGAAGGACTGCGACCAAGCTGCCCACTGCCCGTCACCTCTCCGGGGTATGTAGGCAATCGGCCACTTTCCCATCGTCCCGTCCGCCACCCCTACGCACATCTATTGCTCCCATATTGCCCCCTCCTCTCCCTGGTCTGTCACGGTTCTGCAGCTTATTGGTACCGTCTTTGGATTTGACACTGTGCTTTGTGTACCGCGGTGGTGTAGGTATGCTGCGCGACCTGCCCAGTACGACCCATATCCAATTCACCGGATTCAACCGTTATGTGGACTGCCATGCCCTCGGTATCATGGAATACCTAAATGTGCGTCTCGCACTTGTACTACTCCATATTGCGAAACCAGCATATCCGTACCCGAGTTGAACATATTACTCCGAATCTTCTTAGCTTATTATGGATACCCAGCTAGACGCTAGCCTTTTTTTTTTTTTTTTTAATCTTTTTCTCCCTCTCCCCCGCCCCCCGGTCCTCAACCTACCAACAGCTGCCATTACATGCTATGATCCATCTCATTGCGACTCACGCATGGGTAGGTACGTACAGTGCACTTTGTTGGCCCCCATGCCATCCAAGCGGGACATGCAAACCGCAGATTCACTAGGCCATATCGTTTCATAGACGCTAGTCCTTAAAATCGGCAGCACAGCAACGCTTGACCAAGGCACGAATAGGCGCGATAGGTAGAACCTGTAAAAATGCTGAGGTCCCGCCATCGGAGGGCTAATTAGCCCGGCCGACCCGGGGTTTGCTCCAGGTTGAGACGACGCCATGCCATCTGTGAAGATCCATGTCCGTGCTGCACTTGCCTGCTCTCCCTTTCCTCTGCGTCCCTTTGCCGCGCCCCCCTAAACAGCATAACCACAAAGCTGATACGACTGTCGCTGAGGGCCATTTGTCCATCGTGCACGTTCGGACGCTCTTCCGCCAATTGCCAGGGGTGTGTCAGCTAAATCACACCCCCTCCCTCTCGCTTCGTCCCCGGTCCCACATCCCTGGTCAATCGGCCTTCATGAAAAACCAAGGCCGGCTGGCTGCCGATTCATCTGACGTGTAGAGCCCCGCCGGCACCTTCATCGGAATGGGCATCGTCGTTCCAAACGCTTCATCGAAGCCTGGTGATTCGCCTTGGTGTCGCTGCCGCCGTTGCTGGTGCTGCGGGTTTTCCTCATCGCCCTCCTTTCCGCCGCGACCCATGTGAATCTGCGCCCGCGCCCGCTCCAGCGTCTGGGCACCTTGGTCGGCTCCCCGCCGTGTCCCAGAATCCGCGCAGCCCGCCGTCCTGCCCACCGCGACCAACACGCCGCACTCCCAGTTGCGACAGGAGAGCTTGGCCGTTCCCGACTCCCGGTCCTTCACTAACCGGCCCCTAGATTCCAATTTAGGTCAGCCTTATGATCGATCCACGTCGTTTCGTCACGTCCTGCTCAGACGGCATATGGTTCCTCTGGCCCCTCCCTCCCCGGCCTTTTTACTACTGCGACGTTGGTAACGCCTATCACCAGGCCTCGCGATGACTTACCATGCACTCTCTGACAAGTTTGCGCTCCCCATGTATGCCCAGACCGCACCGTTGCACGCTCGTTCTCGCACAAAAATGGCCTTGCTATGCAACAGCAGACCTGTTCGGGTGCTTTCGCAATCTCGCAGTAATTCTCGCGGAAAGGTGGAAGACTTCCACCACTTCTCTTGCATGCAAATAGTGCCGGCAGCCTGTTTAATGACGCGAAATGAGCATTCTTAAAATACAGGGGCATTTGGGCACCAGGATCGACCGGCGCCGCGGCGATCCCGGCCGGGACATACTTACAGATCTACCGCCTCGGCTGCTCGAAACGGTCTTTTCGGTCGGGAAATAAATACGGAAATGATGCTGCAAATCGACCGCTTCGGCGGCAATTGTTCTAGAAGCGGAAGGACCTGACCTTCCGGCCTTGCTTCTGGTCGACTTGGACTGTCTCGCTTCGTATTCCTTCATGCCCGAATCACCTACAAGGGTGCCGTGGGGTGTTAGTCCGCTGATCACCCCGTCAAGTCTCGACAGGTTGAGTGCAACCACACGTACCTTGACAAGCATTGTAAATAGCTGTCAAATAACCATGGTTCAGAGATCCCAGCGAAGAAGCCTGATGACAAATTGCTTAGCGAACCCCCCTTGTCAAACTGCCCGCCAAAAGCTGGGAAAACTGTTCAGCCTACATACCACGTAGTCAACGTCGACGGGATAGTCGGTTGCTAACCCCAAACTACGAGCAGTATTTCCGAGTCCACAGTAGCCTAGTTTTAAACGGTCAGTTCTTATTTTGACACGCCACAAACATCAATTTCTGGCGCCTTGGGGGGTATGCTGACCTGTGTGTTGCCAAGAGTCATTCGCATGGCTCCCGGAACTGCGGGTTGAAGTCAGCTGTCAGAGTCGATGCCATCTTTGCTGGGACCCTCGTTCGATTGACTGACATTGTATGGACAAATCCGTAGCGACTCGTTTCAGAAAAGTCGTAATTGTCAAGGCTCTTGACCAGTTTCTCACCAATACCAAGAGCTGTTAGGAAGCGCCGCAGCTCCTTTCCAAACAGTGTCTCCGTACCGGCTGTAGTCTGCTGCGTCTCGAAGCGAGGCAGGTCGATGAGAAACACCATCTGCCAGTGTGAGCTAGACCGTAAGGAGGATTGTGATGAGTCGGGGGTGACAAACGTTTTCTAGAACACCCGTTTCTCCCCAATCGTAGGGAACCAGATTGCCGGAAGGAACCACAAGTCGGAGATAGCTGCCATAATGTCAGTAGCTGCCGGTAGTCTAAAGAATGGAGACGTTTTACCCTTCATACTTTAGGATCTGCAACTTAGAATGCATATACCCGCCGTGCATGGGCGGGAAGCAGAATCTGATGAGCCCAGCAGGGGCGTTTGACCGAATCACTGCTTTCTGTAGGATACTGTCAGTGAACGTGTCATCGGTCACGGATAGGGGCTTTGTTGGCAGTTTTTTACATACCTCTGCGTCGTTTGCTGCATACGCAACCAGCACCATCTTGGTGCGCCGACAGTCGATCTTCGACAGAAGCCACTCCTCATCCCATTGAAAAGAGGAAAGAACGGCGAGCTGCAGCTGCTCTTTTTGCAACACTTCTTCGATCTTGATATCATCACCCGTCCTCGGGTATCCTCGTGCCCAGGTTCTCCTGAAGGCTCCCTTGGCGAAAGGTAGATCGAGGGCATTGGCTGCTTGCTCTTGTACCTTCAGAACAGGGGCAGCGTTTCTCAACTCTTGGCTGTCAGCGGCATCAGTCCGTTGAGATTTTGACGTCTGGAAGTTCTCGTCAAGGTCAGCTTGCGTAGCTGATCGTTTTCCCAGTCTTGCGAGACGTTCCTCTTCCATTTTTTTCCTGTCAAGAGCAAGGGACCCAAACGTAACACCAGTGGTAGGCTTGATGGACTGTTTTAAAGGGCTCGCTGGCGCATTCGACGCCTCCGATCGATTGTGAAGTGTGATGTCTTCTTGTTGCAAAGATAATGCAATGGCCAAGGCCAGATCCGGGTCATCTTCCGCATCTGGTGATGCAGAACGCGCTGGGTTGTATTCTGAACTCATAGTCGCGCGCGAGCCGCCAGAAATACGCTTTTCCTGACTGATTCAGTATTTATGAGGTGAGAAATTGAATTCCAGAGTCTGTTTTGTGCTGAATTCGGTGTGGAATAAGTTGAACAGGGGCTAAGGGAAGTCGCGATACCATGCAGCGTTCATTACTTAGGTCGGGTGGCTGTCGCGTTGTCACGTGCCTTCGTGATCAGATTGCTTCTTTGTTGCATACTCTCCCCCATTCTTTCCCCGCTTAGGTACATTAGATGCAAAAAAGCGCCGCTCTGTTGGTGTACAATTAATCAACTTACCGCTCGTATCTGCTCGATTTCTTTACAATTTTTTTCAGACTCCCAATGATAAGGGTGGAATCAGTATGTGACAGCTTGATAGTTGCATGATCAGGTAGCAAACACGGCAGATCTAATGTATTCATGACTTGTCCCTGATTACAGTTGCTCGTCACTGTCTGATACGCAGAGCCTTATGACAATACTTGCATTCTTGCCTTCTACAGTCTCGTCGTCACGCTTGTGTATGTAACTATACGTCAAGAGCTTGGACATGTTGGTCATAAGCTGCTGAGATATGGACGTGGCTCTGTTTGCCTTTGTGGCTCGAGTGTCTGATCCGTCACAACGACACATGATAGCTGGACAAGTGGCGTTTCTTCTTATTGTGGTTCCCGGCAAGCATACCTAATTCAATTCCCCGCCTCCTCCCAGCCCCTTCGCCTCTGCCATGCCTTATCATGGTGTCACGATGACAGGATGAGGGGGGCTTGCATTCACCATACACGGCATCAGTATGATGGCCTTGGGCAACAGGGCAGAAACGAGTTGAAACCCGTGCAGCATCGAGAATCAAGGCTTCATCTCTGGCTCATCTAGACTGTATGGCATGCTGCGTATTGTGAATGTTTGCATGGGCCCAAAGTGGTATGGGCTGATCTAGCAAAGCACATTGCCATCCCCAATTTAGGAACTCGCTCGAGAATAGACCTCGAGGTAATGTCCGAATGAGATTCCGAGATCCAGCTGCGTTTACAACCGTACCGTATGAGAGCTGACGCAGAGAATCCGATTAATATTCGTCATGCCCACCTTGCTTCCCGTCGAGTTCAAGCCGAGCTGTTGCATAGGACAAATACAATAAATTTCCCGACAACGTTTATGCTCATCAGACAGCAATATCCAATACACAGGATAGAGTGATCGATCGAGCTTACGGCCTTTTGAATAAAATACAGCACTCGCTCATATTCATGTATTCTCGATGTGCATCACACTGACGGGCATTCACAGCCAGTAGTTCCTAGACAAGGTAGACTGTCCGTTTGTCATAGAGTATAATATACCTTTGAAAGTACGCCACGAAGCGGTCCAACGAAGATGCAGACGGAAAATGATTGAAGTTGTCCTAACTGAAGAAAAACATCGATGTCGCCTCCGGGTATCAAGTTGAATACTCCTGACGTTGGCACAAAAAAAGCATCTGCCAATTTTGCCACATCCCGTAACCCCGAGACACCCAACAACAAAAATCACAATCAACAGCTAGAACTCGCAGAGACTCCCGTTCCATGCTAATTGGTGGTCCAAAAGTTTCACATACATAGATCATGGACACCTCGTTGATGGGTGGCGTACGGAAAACGTCCACCTCATAGCCCAGACCAGTGGCTTCTTCAAGAGTACAAAGGACGTTCTCCCGATTTGGCAGCCGCCAGAGGGGAGTCTAGTTTGAGGATTCGACGAAGACTGTCCTCCATGACACGAAGATCGGAAGATCGGACCTCCTCGTCCTGTGTAACAATACCATTACTGACGTGCGGAGTTGAAGGTATCGGTGGCGAGGGTTGAGGAGAGCCTGTCATACCCTTGCCTCCAAACAAGTATTTCTTCAAGGCCTCGGAGCGGTCCTCGGATGGTGAGTTTTCCGAAGCTCTTGGTGTACAAGGTTGACTAGGACCGGCGCGGGCAGCCCGAATGCGGTCCTGGTAGGGAGTCGAAAAAGCAGGGCCAAGTGGCTTGCCGGGAAAGCCATCAAGCTCTGCCGAAGAAATACCGCTGGAGGATCGCTCGAATGGCATTCGATGCCCCGGGTGGGTATTGTACGGTTTCGCGGCGAAGGGACTGTCTCTGAGCGCGGGAGCCGGCGGCGAGACAGGCCCCTGAGGCCGAGAAGAGGAGTGAAGAGAGCTTACTCGACGTGCCTTCTCCTTTTCAGCCCTATCTGCTCGAAAGATAGCATCAAGAGGAGACTCTCGGGCCACAGGCACAGTCGATGGATGGTGCGGAGTCGGTGCCTCATGCTCCGTCACTGGGGGAGATGGTTGCTGCTGAACTTCTCGTGTCATGCCCGGATTGCCTGGGGACTCGGGGATCGACTTCGAGTAGAAGCTAGGCATAGGCAGAGCTGAAGGGGCGGGAGATGCGTGGAAGGTTGCACCAGCGAAGGCTGCAGCGGTGTTTGGCTTGTTGCTGACGGGAATGCTCTGGGGTGTTGACCGACGGTTCTGGCGTGTGTCTGGCGATGCTACAGGATTGGCACTGGGATTCTTCGCTCGAGGTTTGTTGCGAGAGCGCTGCTTGGAGCCGGCCTGAGCCCCCGCGGCCGACTGGGGATCTGGAGAACCCGAGTAGGACTTCTGAGGAGTGTGTGGACCGAACTGATCAAAGGCAGAATTCGACACATTTGCCATATCGTTCTCGGAGGCGTACATTTTCTGCCCTGCCGCCTTCCCGCCGCCATTTCGACCTCGGCGACGGTTGGATGTAGGCTTCGCTTGATTGGTTGCCTCCTGCATACTGGTGTCTGAAGGGACAATCTGGCTTGTCGCTTTTCGGCTTTCGGTGTTTTGCTTTGCTTTTTAATTAATGTAACGAGAGACGGCAAAGGGACGAGAAGGGTGCTTTGTGTACGGCAGTCTCGTGCCTAGAGCCTAGTCGGTACAAGCAGAGCGCTGTAGGTACGTAGGCTAGGTATGATGCGTTAAGATGAGGCAGACTTGTCGGGTAGATCGGTTGACCGCAGAGTGAGTGCAACTATGACTGTCGATGTGCCGCTGGGAGCGTCGTGTTGATGCTTAAAGATACTGGGTTTTTCGCTTTGGTTACGGGCGGATGATGGTCGGATTGCGTGTTCAAGCGCCAGGAGGATGGTCTGTCTGAGGAAGCGGGTTTCGGGGAAGGGAAAAGTAGAAGCAATTATCTGATGCAGAAGAAGCGCGTGATGGTGCTCTGCTCATTGTGCCGTGCAAAAGGAGGGCGAAGAGTAGATAGGGTGACGCTGAAGCAGCGATGGGGTGGGCAGTGGCTGCAGCTGTGATGCGGCCAGGCAATGGCGAAAGAGGGGAGAGGGGCTTAAGTAACCCTGGCGCCAAGATTGGGCTCGTTCGGCAGGGCCTGGCGAGGCACGGCATGCCATCCCAACCTGTGCTGTTCCTCGCAACTGCCCGTCCAACACCACCGACCAAAATACATCCAATCAGAAGCAACTGAGCCACTGCTGTCCCCCATTTTCCGGGCCGTTCCCAATGCCAGCCTCACGATAAGCCACTCCTGCTCTGATAGGCACCTCACCATCCTTGTTTCCCGCGCACCAAAAATGGCAGGGCGCGAGTCACTCTCCAGGACCAACTGCGTCACTGCTGTGACGCGGAGACAGCATGGTTGAGCATCTGTCTATCCGTACTTTGAAGTGTGGACTGTGCTGCAGATATCCGTAGTATGACCTGAAAGTTCGTCAAGCTAAAGTCTTCAGCTGCTCCTGATGACTGCGAATCCAGCCAACAGCCCCGGCTTCGGCTTCGGGTTGCGGGCGGCAGAGGACTGAATTGGCGTCGCATCGCCCGCACCACTCCATCGATATTCGAACTCACGTCATCAAATAGATGCCACCAGCTACGCGAGTGTCTCGGGGCAAATGGAACGCGGCACGGGTACCGTACCTTACCTTACCTGACAGGACCTCAGGTAGGGCAATGCTGCCATACGACTACGGTACCTAGACTACCTGGATCTTCTGGCTACCGTACTTTACCTTAAGTAGGCACTTTTGGAGTCCATGGATGGAAGCCAGCGGAAGTCAGAGCTGACATGGAAGGCACACTGACCTTCGCCGCACAACCTACCTCATCTACCTACCTACCTAGGTGGCACGGTGGGTAGGTATTCTGGGTGGGGTGCTTATGGTAGGCACCATAAGGCACCTTAGATACACTAGGTACTCAGGCATTAGGTACGTATCCGTACCTATGTACTATGCAGTAGGTGCCTCGCCCTCAGTTCACAGCTTGACTCCATCCAATCACAGCTCGCACCTGCCTAAGGTACGAAACGGAGTTGCTTTAACCACTGGTGGCAGCCTTGCCTCGTCCTTCAGTCATTACCCACCCTATCCGTACCCTGCCAAAGATAAGTTAAGTAGTAGTGCCTCACCAACGCAACGCCCGCGAGGACGAGCAGAGCTAGCCACGAAACACGGCAATAAAACATCCAAGAGGTACGGAAAGTGGTATGTAATGTCTTCATTCTTCCGACCGCATCAACTCGACGTGTTCTTTCTTCCACGACAGCCTTCTCTATCTACCTTCCTGCTGTACCCTGCTGTCACCTGCCGATTCTGCCACCTCTTTGACCTCACTGATCGGTGCTGACCCCACCCACCTCCAACCAGGTACTACGGCATCAGGAACAACCAACCGTTAAATTCGAGAGCTCTTCTGCCAAAGTCCGATTTCCATCACCGCCTCAACAATTCATCGACCCCGCCCCTCGACTCCCGGTCTTCCGCTTTCGCAGCACTCGCCGCGCCCCCCGAAACGTCCATCGAACCCCGCCGTTTCTAGCATCCCACCATGGCCGACGTCGACATGACCGATGCCCCTGGCAGCGTCGTCAAGAAGGGAGTTGACGGTGACTCCAAGGCCGCCGACGGCAAGAAGCGCTTCGAGGTCAAGAAGGTTAGCATCTCGGACCTAGCATACTCTTTCTGAGCTTACGGATGGGTAGTGGAACGCCGTCGCACTCTGGGCATGGGACATTGTCGTCGACAACTGCGCCATCTGCAGAAACCACATTATGGACCTCTGTACGTCGAATAGAAGGACCATCGGCTGCTAAGCTATTTCCCCGGACATACTGACACCACCACAGGCATTGAGTGTCAAGCGAATCAAGCCTCTGCCACGAGCGAGGAGTGCACCGTAGCTTGGGGCATTTGCAACGTACGTATTCTCGCCCGACGCAGCTGTACGTATACTAACATTTTCACCAGCACGCCTTCCATTTCCATTGCATTTCTCGCTGGCTCAAGGCCCGCCAAGTGTGCCCATTGGACAACCGTGACTGGGAGTTTCAGAAGTACGGTCGTTGACATGGTGGTTACCCACGGGGAGATATTATTTCTTGGGTTTGGCATCGCATAGTCGCGCAGGAGCGCCTCAATACAGTCAAATGGTACAATGAATGGGCAGCGGCAATTTGCACAAAGCCGGCCCATGTGGCCGACCAGGAGTAAAGGCACACGAGAAGATACGATACCATAGGAAGCACTGGAATGATCACGCCTAGCCTTATGACTGTTACTCTCGATACCCTTAGCCCGATTTCTCTATTGTAGCCACATTGCGTATACCCGCGCCATCAGATTCCAACCACTTCACCGGGTGTTGTTTATAGAATGGCCAAGGAGGCACAACGAGGAGAAATGTGAGGGCGGTGCCAGCGAGACCTATGTAAACCGCCAACTTGATATCTTGAAGGAAAAAGCCGACGAGGAAGGCGAGTGCCTAAAATGTAAACTGTTAGAAGGTCGCGGAGAAGAGGGATATGGTGATGAAAGTTTTAAGGTGCGAACTTACCCCGGATGCTGAGAGGACGAAGGTCGCCAAGAGGTCGGCCAGCTTTTGGCCCTCAAAGTCCTGAGGAGAGGCAGACATCAGCGCAACGTGATTTGGATAAAGACGTCTTGCGGCACTCACAATCTGACCCTCGGCCAGGTCGCGCACCTGGTCGAGAATTTGATCAGCCATGCGGGCTATGGAAGGGAATTGTGTCGAAGTGAAGGACTGTGTGACGGTACGAGATACTGCGTCTGGTAGCAAGATTGAAGGGCGATCGAGAAACGCGTGCAGCAAGGAATCGGCTTGGCAAGGAATAGAATCAGTCTGTCGGCCCGTCGATGTATGCCCGAAAAGTAAGAAGATGGGTATTTTGAGGCGATCGACGGATCAGGCTTACCAGGAGTCCGCTGGGTGTAGTTGGCGACAAGTATGCCAGTTCGTAATAGTAAGGTAGGTGCTTGGAAGCACGGACACTATGCTTGGCTCTACCTAAGTACGGACAGGTAGCAGCCCATTCGGCGGAAGCACTCGAAGCGGCGCACCCATGACACTGGAAGCACTTGGCTTGGGCGTGCACCACCCTTTGGAGGGGCACAATAGATCAGTCCATGTACCGCGAACCGTTTGAACGGACCCACAAACTGTGGGCTTGCACGGTGCCGCCCGGCCCGGGTCCACTCAGCTGCGCACCTGTGAAGGTACACTAGCGCACCTCACTACTAAATACCTACAGGATACGCCGCGTACTGGCACCATAACAGTCCTCACTCAGAGGACCCGTGACAGACCACCCGCTGCAGCGACACTGGACGACTTTAGTTCTCCACCTCACTGCCCAACTGCTGGGCTGCTGTTGGCCGGAGCCAGGTAGTGCTTGACACCTGAAGGGAAAAAAAAGTTCTCCTTCGGCTCGCCTCTGCCGGGCGTCTCCCTGGCTCGGAATTTTATGACAACCAGGAAAACCTCTCCTCCCTTTTAGGACCTCTCTCTCTCTCTCTTCTTTACCACAGGAAGAACAACAGAAACTCGACCGCACCACCGCTCGAGGGCAAGTTCAAATCGTCCCAAGTCTTCCATTGCCCACGGCCAGTTCATGCTCATTGCCTCGCACAGAACGAGCATTCCATCAGATCAGTCTGATTTCTTCTTTGAGAGTCGACTTTCGGGACTGCGACGGACGAACCTGTTTCCGGGCGACGAGTCCCGCATCTAGGGTTGACCCAAACAGACCACCTCTCGTACCTCTGCCGCTGCTATCGTCAGGAAATCCCTCTTTCTGGTCCTTTATCGCCAACCCGCAAACTCGCGCGGAATTTTACCTTCGATATCGCACACGCTCGTCCGACCTCCCAGCACCCGCGTAACTATATCACAGTCCGGCATTATCGTCCTCGCCTGGCTTCATTTTCACAGGTCGCGAGACCCAACTGAACTACCCTCTCAACCAGAACACCACCAAGTTGGCTTCACTCGCAGCTGACGCTACCTCCCCCTCCCGTTCACTCCTAGGTCCTGGTTTCTGGGTCTACAGCGGAGTGAACAAGAAGCCTCCATAACTGGGTTTCCCCATTGCCGATTTCATACACCTTGGAAACATCACTGCGACACCGTCACGCCGTCGCTCTGCTGGCATCTCCAGCGTTTATCACGGCTCTCGGGACTGTCGCCAGCCCTGTTTGCCCTGGAAGCTAGCTATTCGCTCAGCGGACAGCGCGCCGCGGCCGCGCGGGGTGCTATCAACTGCGGTCTGCATCGCACGTCACTAAACGCATCAGTTATGGGTATCGCCATCTGAGTTGAGCGTTGCGGAGGCATTTGAAGAGAAGCGATTCCGAGTAACACATCTCATCGCTCTCCCTTACGGTCCTGTAAATCGACTGGTTCGCCTGTTTCATCGCGTCAATCGAAATACCAGCAGCACCGCAAGCGTACTGTCAACAACTCTCATCATGTCGGACCACGAGGAGACCATCTCTGAGGGCACCTTTAAGACGCCGATCCCTGAGCTTGACGATCACCGTCACCAGGTCACGGCTGCCCCTCACCCAGAGCGTCCCCGTCGAGGCACTTTCGACACGCTTTATGGAGCTCGATTGCTGAGCCCCGAGTCGGCTGCAGCGGATGCATCAGCCAACATTCGGGTGAGGGACTTTGAAGAAGCAATTGTGGATGAAGAAGGGGCTGATGTCTCACCAACGGCTCGTCGTGTTCGTCGGCCGACGGTTGAGACCATCACTGATCAACGATCCGTGTCGCCGCCAAACTCCGTCAAGGCCTTCGCTGAGGCGCGTCGGCGTGAGCGTGGCATGTCCTTTTCTGAGTCTAAGGCGGAGCGGGCTGGTGACGAAGAAGAGATGCACCGAGCTGTCTCAATCAGCAGTCGCCGAAGCCATCGCAGCCGGCCGCACACGGTGGACGATGGTGCCAGCCTGGCTACCAATCAGTCCGCCGAGGAAGACGTTTGCTTCCCTCTCCAGGAGGGTCGGCGCAAAGACCAGTTGTACATTGACTTCGACTATCTCGAGAACTTTGTTCAGTCGGATAGGGCCTCGCGGGTCAACAGCCGCCGCGATTCCCTTCGTGCCTTCCCAGACCTCAGGCCGCAGACGTCTGAAGCTGTGCAGCCACAATTGCAGCTCCACACTGTTGATGGAGACATTCTCAACATGCCCTCGGACTCGTCCACGGGTCAGGATGCTCCCGAGAAGGAACCCGCTGTAGAGGAGGAGCCTAAGGCGAAGCAATCCCCAGCACAACAGCCGGTGGATCCCAACCGGTTCAGCTTCTTTTCTTCGGCGTGGGAGTCAACGATCCACGCTGCAGAACTCGGCGACCTCGTGCTACCCGGAGAGGACCTCCGCGGTCTCTTTGCCTTGCCTGCAGATGAGTCGGATGGTGTATGGTGGCTGAACGTCAACAACCCGACCAAAGAGGAGGTTGTTGCTCTCTGCAAGGCTTTCGGTGTTCATCCGCTCACCATCGAAGATATCACAACGCAAGAGGCTCGGGAGAAGATTGAGCTCTTCCCCTCTTACTACTTTGCGAGCTTCCGATCGTTCCACGCAGTTCAGGAAGATGATGGTATCGAATACGAGCCCTTCAATATCTATGTCGTCGTCTTCCGTGAGGGTACTCTAAGCTTCAGCTTTGAGCCAAACGCACATGCGTCGCACGTGCGGAAGCGCATTGCCCTTCTCAAGGACTACGTTGCGCTCAGCAGTGACTGGATCTGCTACGCCCTCATGTAAGTTTTTCTGCTTGCGCATGTCGGCAATCCTTGCTAACCTTCTCACCAGCGACGACATTGTCGATTGCTTCGCGCCTGTCATTCGTGAAATCGAAGTCGAGGCAGATGCTATCGAGGATGGCGTCTTCGTGGCTCGTGAGGACGACTCAAACGCTTTCCTTCGATCAATCGGCCGTGTTCGTAAGAACACTATGGCTTTGATGCGCCTTCTGGGAGGCAAAGCTGATGTGCTCCGAGGCTTCACGAAGCGCTGCAACGAGAACTACAAGGTCACTCCCCGCATGGATATCGGCCTCTATCTTGGTGACATCCAAGATCACGTCGTTACCATGGTCACCAACCTAGGTCACTTTGAGAAGATCTTGTCTCGCTCCCACAGCAACTACTTGGCGCAACTTTCGATCAACAGCATCTCGCAGGGCACGCACACGAACTTGGTTCTAAGCAAGATCACCTTCCTGGCATCCATCCTCGTGCCGCTGAACCTCGTCAGCGGTTTGTTTGGCATGAACGTTCCAGTTCCGTTCGCAGGGAGCAACACTCTCGCTCCATTCTTCACCATCTTGGGAAGTTTGATTTTCTTCTGTGTGGTTAGCTTGGCTTTGGCTCGCAGATACAAGTACATTTAAAGATACGGTCATGTGTGCTAGGCGGATACTATGGCTGAGTGATCAGAGGAAATGACGGTAGCAATAAAGAAGTAAAAGATGGCATTGGGACTAGACTACGTAGTAATTTCACCTTTCTCTCATTGCAATCGGATCTGCTGACGATGTGTGTCCAAATAACCGTTGAACCGTGTAACACAGGGGGGGAAGGGGGGGAAGAATCAAAAGCCTCCATGCAATGTGAGTTTATTCTCTACGGTAAAGTTGGGCATGTTTTTCTCGAGGTATGCTCCTTGCAAGTATGCGTAATGTCAAAAAGTTGGTAGTCTCTCAGAAGAAAACTACGGTGTCCAAGCGAAGCGGATTCTGAGCCAATGTGGTGAGGTAGGTAGGACCTACCTAGGTAGTACTGACACTACCTTAGGTAGTGTAAGGTAGCGGGACCCAGAGTGGGGACGTGGGAAAAAGTGTGAGCCAACTGAACCTTTGCTGTTCCAAAACCTTCACCACGAAGAACAATCGCAACGACGCACGCCTCAGGTCTCCTATACTGTTGTTTCAAGGAAGATCGAAACCTGGAATTTTCTACATCACACGCAACCGCGTTGTAACACGACTTCTCCGGAGCGCAGCGTCAGACACGGAAGCCATGGAGTCATCTAAGCAGGCCCTCCAGAACACCGACCTGGAACAGCTCAATGACAAGGACAAGGCCGAGCTCCGTCAATTCCTTGCGAACGAGCAGCAGCGGTCGCAGATACAATCACGTGAGCACAACCTCCGATTCTGCAGAGCGCAGTGCGAGGCAGCAGTAGGCAATTCAGGCAAGCGAGGAAGCTGACACGCAATCACGACAGAAACCCACGCGCTCACGGAAATTTGCTGGAAAAAGTGCGCCAGCGGCTCGATTCGCGGCCCAAAACTGGAAAGGGGAGAGGAGTCGTGCCTTGCCAACTGTGTGGACCGCTTCCTTGATGTCAACTTCCTCACAATGAAGCACCTGAACAACATGCGTTCGGGCTAGATGATTTGTATGCTCACATGGGCCGAGGAGGATGGGGCTCGAATACGGAGAGGGGAATGGAAGACGCCTCAGCTGGCGCTCATCTCATGTATAAGCATTGTAGGACTACGACATGTTACAAGTGATTGGATAGCACACTTCCCACGCTGCCACTGCAATTTAGTGCATACAGATCTAGTGATTACATTGATTGGCGAGCACAGGGAGCAAAAAGGAGCAGTTGTGGTTCAAAGACAAGGTCACGAGGGGCGGCAGTTGTTCCGCGTTCATATGCAATTTTTGAGACTCAACCTGGTCATTGTACCCCAGCTCGAGGACTGGGGAATCGATTTGTGCCCCTGGAATACCACCCTCGGGGATCTAATCAACAACCTTTAGACGCCAATGCCAATGCCGTTGCAGTCCATGAACCCGAATTGCTTTTTGTTCCCGTACCCATTCCCGTCATTCCAACGTTTAAACGAGAGCCAGCTTGGTGGCGGCGATGTCAAGAGCATCGACGTCAGGGGTGAGGCGGGCGTAGGCCTTCTTGGAGCCGTCAGGGCTACACCAGTCATTGTTAGTTCATTTGATGGTCTGTCTGTTGCGCGCATGTCGCATCCAACTAAGCGGGAACTTCTCTTACCGGATCAGGGTGTTGATCTTGACGGTGTCGATGTCGTAGAGCTTCTTCAGGGCCTGCTTGATCTGGGCCTTGTTGGACTTGATGTCGACGATGAAGACGAGGGTGTTGTTCTCCTCAATCTTCTTCATGGCGCTCTCGGTGTTGAGGGGGTGGATGATGATCTTGTGCTCGTCGAGACGGGGCTCGTGAGGGATCGACTTGCGGGGGTACTTGGGGGCGCGGGAGACAACAAGAGTCTTGGGGCGGTGGAAGGAGGTCGTGTAGCGGACCTTGGTCTTCTTGTGGGAGTTGGTCTAAGAAGTTTGCATGTCAGCTTCGGTCGTCCTTCTTGAAAAGTGCTTTCTGGGAGGAGGCGGGAGACATGGAGCGAGCAGTCGAGGTCGCCGCCCTTCATCGATCCCGCTTGCTTCCGAGGAAGCGCCTCGTCAAGTTTTGCGTTGTACTTACACCCTTCAGGGCAGCCTTGGCAGCAGCATTGGCCTGCTTGGAGCCCTTGGGAGCCTTGGAGGCACCGCCTGTAGTAGATGTCGCATCAGCAATCGCTCTTTATGATCAAAGAACTCGCAAAATCTGCTGCAGCATGATGCTCGGGAGGTTCGCCCCGTTGCCGTCGACGGGCAGAAGATTCATCGAGCTGGAAACATCTTGGAATGGTGTTGCTGTCAAGTACCTTTCTTGGTGTTAGGGGCCATTGTGAATGTTGGGGGTCGTTGGCTGGCTGGTCGGGTTAGCTGGCTGAGTCGCGGTTGAGGTCAAGAAAAGAAGGATCTCGTGAACTTTTCCTTTTTTTCCACCCCCCAGATTCTGTGGTTTGTGTTAGGGCACTGGTTTTTTTTTTGTTTTTTTTTTCCCTCGCTTACATGGTCTGTGCACCCTCGAGGCTGGGCTGCTCAACGACTGGGACGGCGGGGAGCCCGGGGACGGGACTTATGTGAGAAACGCAATATCTATTCGCCGGTCGCCGACAGTGGAGCTCACCTACTATGCAGTAACGTACCTAGGGCAGCTTAAGATCAGTTCGTGGTCGGGTCGGGAGAACCAATGGATGATACTCTATGCCTGCGCAATATCTCTCAAGCTTTGAGATTCTCTGATCTAGATCTGGTTTGTCGTGATCGCATCCCGACCCGTCAAATACCCTGCACAAATTAAGTTTCTTCAATATTTCTTACCACCGGTATTAAAAGCCTTGTGCGGTCACACCTGTTCTTTTGAGAAGTGACGGGCTCATCAGCTATGGCTCGACAAAAACCAACCCCGAAGCTTCTGTCAAGTGGTAGACCTCCAACTCTGAAGAAGGCGAAGTCGATTAGTCGGAAAGAAACCAGAACTCTCATCAACACTCATCACACACTACAGAAGAAGCGACAGCAGGCCTTGGCCAGAAACGACGAGAAAGAAGCTGCAGCTTTGGCGGCGGAAATCTCTGCGCTCGGCGGACTCAAGGAGTATCAACAGGCCAGTCTCCAGGGCCAAAGGACAGATCGTGGCGGAGACAGCTCAAGAGTTCTTCTGGACTGGCTGCGATCGGCGAATCTCCAATCAACAAAGACCATGGCGGCGGCGACGAGCGACAACCACGGCAGTGAACGCCGCCGCTTGCGCATGCTTGAGGTGGGCGCACTCAGTGTCGGTAATGCTTGCTCCAAGAGTGGGCTTTTCGAGATGGAGCTCATCGACCTTAACAGTCAACAGCCGGGAATCCTCCAACAGGACTTCATGGAGAGACCTCTTCCCAAGGACAATACAGAGCGGTTTGATATCATCTCACTCAGTCTGGTTCTGAACTACGTCCCTGACCACTCGCTACGTGGAGAGATGCTTCTCCGTACGCTGTCATTTCTCCGTCAGCCCAACGACGATCTTCCAGAGAGCGCCCGCAACGTTTTCCCCTCATTGTTCGTCGTTCTACCCAAAAGCTGCATCTCCAATTCACGCTACTTATCTCAGGGTCGACTTGTTGAGCTGATGACTCTCTTGGGATACGCCCAGGTCGGAGTCAAGCTCACGAACAAATTGGCCTACTCCTTCTGGAAGAGACAGGGCCCTGCTCAACAGCCCATGACCCCGTTTACCAAGACTGAGGTCAACCCAGGAGTGACTCGGAATAACTTTGCCATCACTCTGAAAGCTTCGTGACACCAGTGGCCCTGAAGTTGTCATTTCAGTACCGCTGTGGAACAGACGAGTATGATGACTGATGAGGACATCCGGTTAACCAACGCGCGATCCAACACTACGGCCTCCGAAGTCGGGTGGAGAAACCTTACTCCTGTTCGAAGCAGATACGGAGCTTTATCCCTGGATGCGGCTTCCTTTTTCAGGACGGCAATGGGCGATCAAAAGGGAGAACTCGACGACACAGTGGGAATCCTCAGCAGGAGGCCTTGCATAGATCGACGGACGATCACTTGCGTTATCACCATGAAAATGCGCACTAGAAAGTGTCACGTTGCCCTGAGGGTCAGCACCGGCTAGCCCTGGTGATATACCCAGGTACCGTCTCTCCAGACTTCAAGAACCCCGCTCAAACGCCCCCATCCGCCGCTCTACGCTCTTGTCACCGGCAGCAACAATGTACCGTGAAAAGATGGCGGATGGCTCGGGGTCGGTAGAGTACCTGGCCGCTAGTTATCAAGAGATGGCTCGAGTGTTGCTTGCGAGCTCCAATTGAATGTGGCTGTACCGTTCAATTCGTTACTGTGAGAGATGAAGCTGGGTGTGTAACAAGTATTTAGGCATTTAACACCCGGATTCTTATGTTGGATTCGTTGTGTCCTTGCTAGCTTGGCCCAGAGTTCAGCACTAAACCAATTGTCTAGGCTGAGCTCCGACTGGTGTCGTTGTGGCTACACACAAAGTTGTGGTACGGCGCTGTGAAGAGTTGGAGGGGGTCACCTGGAACGGTCTTCGTGTGGATTGGAAGAAAGGGGAGCAGGAACAAGATTTGTGGATTCGCGGGAAGGACGGAGACGGAAAAGCTGAAGTTGATGTTCGCCGGATGCAGACTGTATTCGAGGCACCCCAAACGAACCCTCCTCATCGAGCTACAGCGTTTAGCAGGAGCATTTGCCGGCAAACCTGCAATCATTCGGCGATTGTCATTGTGTTGATCCATGATCCTCCAACTCATTGAAGTCCCTGATAGGCTGAGGGTTCATATCAGCCGGCAAAGGTGCGTTGCCCGGGCGAACGACGGGTATGCTTCGCATTCCTGCCGCAATGGCGGCTGAGACTTCAAGTGGATTGTCGCTGAGGAAGAGCCACTCATCAGCCTTGGTATCTTGAAAGTTGGATAAGATATTGGTGTAGCTGCTAGACTCGGTTTTGAGGCCGGCGTTAACAGTGTCGAACCAGCCAGAGATGAGGGGTGTCAAGTCCGACGGCTGAGCATCTGTGTGAGCAAAGAAGAGTTTCTGCGCGGGAACAGAGCCGGATGAGTAGATAACCAGGCGCAAACCGGCGTTTTTCCACGATAGAAGACGCCCAGGGACATCTTTGAAGAGGGGTGCCTTGATCTCGCCAGATTTGTAGCCCTCCTTCCAGAGATAGCCTTGGAGAGCCTTGAGGTAAGAAATCTTGACATCGCGGCTGACGAGGTCCCGGAAGTGAGCCTCGAAAGCGGAACGGTCAGACACGCAATCATCAGGGAAAGTGTTCCGGTAGTGAGAAAAGTCAGGGCTGTCCCACTGCTTGTCTAAGGTGGCCGGCAGAACGTTGACAGCATAGGGGAACTATGGGGAGGATGAAGTGTCAGTACGGGACGCAGGGATTGTGCCGCCACGGGTCTATGCGCACGGTGATCCGGCAGGAATGGACAAGCGACCTCCGTGGTGGGAGAAGGCAAGCGGCGGAGAGCATAATCGGGGTGTCACCCGGGACCCGACAGAACCGGGGTTGGGAGGTGGAAGTGGCTGCGGGCAAGACAATCATACCAAGACATCTTTGACAAAAGAAATGGGGCACACGGTCCCTTCTGCAATGCGGGCGAGTGGTTCAAATCAGCGTGAGTTCTCTTATCAACTACAAAACAAATCCATCCAGGTCCGAAAATGTGTGGATGCGGGGAGATGAAGGCTCACCGATGTCAAGCAACACGACCTTGACACTGCCGAGTTTCGGTGCCATGGTGGGCTGTTCAGGCACGATATGCGTCGGGTGTTTTTGCGTCGGTAGTGGCGGTGACCAGGTGAGAAGAAATACGAATAGAGGTGAGACGGTGAGGACCGGGACGCGACGCGCGAAATGTCAGAGGAACGCGAGAAGGGTGAAGGAAAATCCTTCAGTGAGGTTTCGCTTGTTGTGAGTTGGTATGTCCTGCAGCGGACTTGACCAAGCTGACACTGGTTCATGCATGAGGTTGGACGGCGGGAAATTGCGAAGAAGGCGGTCAAGCCAAACCGGAATTCAAGAAGGCCCGGAAGGGGAAAAGGATGCAGCGTCGTAGGTAGGTTGGGTTGCAGCTGTCGTAGGTGTGTGTGCGTGTGCGACTGCGACGGAGCTGTACGAAGGTGGGGGTGGGGTCGACGAATGAGGCGCCAAAGAGTTACACAAACCTTCTCCGGTAGGCCCAATAGCAGCAGCATGTCAAGACACCTTAAGGCTAGATGAATCAGCGGTGAGCCCGTCTGTTGGCGACAGCAACAATAACAACGACAACGACAACGACAACACCACGATCGCATTGAAAACACGTTGCGGGAGGGCCGAGTGTTGGACGAGCTGGGCCCTTGAAAGCGCCGGACGGATTCGGCACGGGAGCCGGAAAGGGAACCGGCGGCGGGAGCTGTCACGAGTCCGTCGGCGGTCAGGCCCCATGGAAGGGCAGAGAACGACGGCGGTGACTCAAAGGAAGCGCCAGAAGCGAAAGAAGAAGAAGAAGAAGAAGAAAACGCCAACAACTGGCCACCAACGGACCATAGTTAGGCGGTGCGCACGGGTACCTAAGGTAGGTAGGTTCCCAAAGGAGAGATACCTTACCTTACCTTAAGGTAGGTAAGAGAAGAGGCGGTTGGGGGTGAGGACGCATCCGTCAGCCACTCAGGTGTTGTCAGTACCTGGCAACCTGGGACCAATTTCGATGCGCAGCAAGGCGCCATAAGCCAGCGAAGAAAAAAAAGCCACACCATGGTCGTCCACCGCCGATAGTCCGCCGTGCCTAGTCCCGGTCGCAGGTCCAAGGCAGTTGTTGTAAGCCAATTGACGGTAGCAATTTTGCGTGTTTTCGTGCACTTGCCAACCACTTGTATGCACTTGGTATGGGCCAGATACTCGTAGCCACGAGCTGTTGAACCCCTTTGTTTCTCGCCTCCAATCTTGTCTCGATCAACAGAGATAGATCCACTTGACCAATAACGTCGACGTGTCTCGCCGAGAGGCGTTGGGCGAACGGCCACAACACGACGGAGGACGCCTGGCAGTTCCGCCATCGTGGTGCCTGACGAGCTCAGCTATCACTCACTCACCCACTGAGTCACTCATATAGGTGAGGTGTCGGACATGGAGGCGACACGTTGGAATGTGCCCGGCAGGCAGCATTGCGGACCCGGCTGTCCACATGGTCTCTTATCGTCGCCGTCGCCGCTGCCGCCACCCCGATAACGCTGCGGAACGAAGGGAGCCCAGGGTAGGGGAAGCTGCAAGGTGCTGCAGAAATGCCTGGTCGGGACATAGAGTGGGTAACTTTGCAGCAGCTCTTGCAGCATTCTCGTGGCAGAGACTGGAGACCTGAAGCTCTAATCTGGCCCGTACTGGACTGTAGAAGCTTGCGGCGGGAATCCGCACAACCCGCTCCTCCACAGATCCTGCTTCACGCGCGACGCTATTGCCGCTAAACTTGCCGTGATCAGCGGTACCCGACTGCAGCACAACATGCGCCGATGTTTGTTCACTACCTAGGTATCTGAGGAACAACGGGAAGCTCGACGCGAGGGACGAATTGCCATACATACCACACCCAATCTACAAAAAGCAAAACGCCAGCAAAACGCCAGCATTTAGCCGGCGACCCATAACAGCTTAGCGCTAATTGAGCCCAGTTCAGGTGCATCGTTGCAAGATAAGACATGAGGGAACTTGAACATCGGAGCAGCATCAGCTGTTGCTCTATTTGCGTGCTTGCCTCTTGGTCAAGTCAAGACAAGACAGAACCAGTTGTCTGCGTACATACTACGGATAAGTACACAGCACGTTGTTGACGGGACCGTCTCCCGGCGGCCGAGTCGCCACTCCGCCCGAAATTTACTTCCTCCCCGCCAGCCGGTCACACGACTAGAATCCGACGGGGGGACTGGCCGTACCGGGGCTATGAGGAAAGGGTGGACAGGAACGGCGACGTCTGATGCAGACAAGCCAGTATCGAACGCACCGAATGACGCCTTTGCTCATCTTATTTCCCCGCCTTCGGAGCTTCCCCTTGTCCGGCGTGTAGCTGATGTTGGCGACACGGAAGCAGACGACTTCGAGAGGATGAGCTGACGGCATGTGCCAGTCTTCGCCTTGTATTAATCGGCTAGATAGAACGTTGTGAACTTCTGCGTACGGCTGCGAGGTTTCGCGTTGTCTACAATTTGTGAGCCAATTTGGGTTCATGGGGATGACGAAGAGCGCAATTTCTGAAACACCCTCGATTACGGCCATGGGCAGCCAAGCCAACGTTACGGGCGCTAGTCAGCAGCTGTCGGACCAAAGCAGCTCGTTTGGAGGGACTATGGAGGGGTCAGATCAGCGTTCAATCACCGGACGAAGGTTTGACGTTGAAGTCTCGGGGTCGGAGGAAGAGACAACAACACTACGACGTTGCCTTGGCACAAATGTAGACGCCTGGGTGGGATAAGCGCTGGTATCGTACAGACACGGTGTTCTGTCATTCTATACTAATTAACGCACTGCACACACACAGTGAAGATCACGAAGCCATGCCACGGCAAAGTTGCTTCGCGTCATCTTAGATAGAGAATGCGTGCGAAGATAAGATGAGGCATGTGAAGTATACGACTTCACAAACATTGAGCTTCAGCTTATCAGGCTTCAATTGAACAGCGACGAGACGATACGTAATCCCGTGCTTCTACACATAATAGTATCTGTGCAAGTAGCGGTATCTTATCACCGTCCGTGGTGAGGGAGAGAGGCACGCAATTCCAGCGTCAGACCCGGGTGAAAGGCGGGTCTTACGCCAGCTTTCGTCTGATGCTGGAACATCCATGGAGAAGGATCACGGACGGAGTGCGCTTGGATGCGTTGGCCCTTGGGTCGACATCACCAGGAATCCGGGGGATTCGTGGATGCTGATCTGCTCCCTCAGACCAAGGCCCAGGGATGCACTGTTATTGTTCTGTACCTACTGCGTACTGCCACGATAGGGACAGCGTCGCGATGTCGATTTCGGGGAGACAAGGGAATTACACTTCTGCCCATCTGCAGGTAGAAAGGAGTGCAGAAAGGGCTAGCCAATGAGACAAACGCCCGGTGAGCAAGTGAAACAGAAACCCAAGGAATCCAGTCGAGGCATTGTGTGAGATAAACAGCAAACCAGACACTCAGCTGCAGGTCTGCCAGTGCCAGTGCCAGTGCCAGTGCCAGTGCCAGTGCCAGCAACCATAGCTCTAGCGTTCCTCACGGAGAGAGAGAAAGAGAGGCAGGAGCCTGGGTAGCTTCTCCGTGCAATCTCCTGTGACGGAACTGTGCCGGGGTCGACCGTCTCAAAGCGAAGCGGGAGACGTCGAGAAACGGGAATGCTAACGGTACACAACTGACGAGTGATGACGGACCTAACCCCTTGCTACCCCACGGCCGGAGTCTCGAACGGTCCACGAAGTCGGATCGCAATGTGGGAAGGAAAACGGCAACCAGCTTCAATTAAATCCAACTCTCTCCCTTATCGGGGCCCAATCCACCTCCCCGGCTGAGTTTAGTCACGTCCTCTGCTCCCCGTCGAAGGCATGACCGAATGACGGATCAGCGATAAAACTTGACATAATTGAACGCTATTTTAGTGAAATGCTTCCTGGGAACGTCCCGACACGTAGTTCAAGCAGTGCAGCTCGCCGAGGAGGACAGTCGAGGACACATGGCACGAATGACGATGTTCTTCAGCCATGATCCAGGAGTTGCTTCACGAATTCTGGGACCCGAGGGAGGGGCCGTTGCCACTCTATCTTTGGTAGCTAAGCCGTAATGGGGTCCATACCTGCAATCCCGTCTGATCCCCCCCTACCTAGGCATCTTTAGAAGACGGGTTATTGGTTCCTTATTACCCAACGTAGGTAAACAGACCGGGTTATGTAAGGCGAGGTGGTATCCGAGATCCGATAGCTTGACCTGCAGAGGGTCCTCTGGCCAGTTCATCTTGATGGAGGACCAAAAAGAGTCAGAGGACTGAACAAATCGAGAAGGACCCCTTTCCCCAAGTTTCGGCGTCTCCATAACAATCAAAAACGTAGGACAGAAGGGAATACAGTGCTGATGCCGTTCCATACCAAGACAAGCACAGTAAGGTAGCACCCGTGCCTAGTACGTGACGCGCTCCCCGCTCGTGTCCGTGAACGAATTGCTTCTCAAGATTGCGAAGAAATGGCGCTGGGCGTTAGGTCGATGGCTGGCTCGGCCGGCCGATAGGTTTCTTGGTAGTGGGATCCTTGGAGTGTCGTTTGGTTGCGCGCTTCCCGCCGCAGCAAGCGACTCGAATCGAGCGCGCACGAGCATCAGGCAGTGCGGCACGCGACGGAGAACTGTTGGATGGCAGCAGGAGGAGCAGCTGGATACGCGGCCGCCATGTCGACGTTGCAGCTTACTTGCCGTTGCCATATACTTGCTGGCCGCGTACCTGGCGGTGTGGCGACTAGCAACGCAGCAAAGCGGGGTCTTCAAAGGGCTGGGCCATCCAAATGGCTGTCAGGGACGAAGGTGTACTAAGTAGTGCACGGCAGTGTAAGGTACTGTGGTAGGCACCCAAGGCACCTTACCTAAGGTACTCGCTTCTTTCCACGGCGGTTGGTGGCCGGCTGTGCAGCCGGTCGGACAGCTGCGCCAACCAGCCACGGCGGCCACTTTCCGTTAAGGCACCTATTGTAAACAGTGTGATATGTTTTTGGCAATTTAGCATTATTAGAGCTGCGCAACTAAGG